TTTAGCTAAAAACATCATGAAGCCATGATGTGCCGACATGATATTCTGAAAAGAGCAGGAACTTTAGGTGCAGGTCACATTTTTCCTCAAAAGTTCAGTTTTTCACTCGATAGGTTCAGCACAAATTTGAATATGTGCTTTTGGTCAGTCCAGAAACATTAATCAGAAAGAATAGCCCTGAGTGATCATCTTTGTTTCACTCATGTGGGTCAGTGACCTAATGTTGTTGTCAAGACCAAACTAACCAAGACCAACACATTCCCTGAGACCAACTCAAGACCAAGATGTAACACTTAGGATACAAAATTTACTTTAACTAAAATATGTATTTATAAATAATAAATTATCAAAAAAACAAGATGTAACAAATTAAGGTGTACTGGGCTAATGTAGGTTAGACTCTTGGAGCTGGTGGAGAATTAATTAAACACACAACACAGAATGTTGATAACTGGTTTTGTATTTCAAAGTTCAATTTTTAACAAATAACTAAAAACACTTCAACTTAATCAAGGAAAATACCACAATTAAATAAAAGAAAATAGGCCTTCAATTAACAGATTCTTAAGGGCACCTTTTACCCTCCATACAACATATGCTAAATATTCGTATACTATTCGTATAAACCAATGCACCAAAACACATCACACGTACTGCAGTTATTTGTTATGCGTGTGCAGATGTCCAACAAATTCAAATATTTATTTAGGCAGGGGAAATCCTACCAGTCTCAGTTCAGTTAAGTCCAGCTTTGTGTCCAGGGTTGAAAAGCACAGTGTTTGTCGTTCAGAAGTTCTCCTGTTTCAGGAATGACTGTGTCCTGCTGCCTTCTTTCTGACTCCTTGATTGGTTTCAATCAGGTGATTAGTGCACCTGGGGAAAAGGGGGTAGATGCCTGTTGGCTGCAGACTGCATCCAATTGGCTCAGGGGATTTGAATGACAGTTGCTGTTGTCCAATTTCAGCAGTGTTACAAAGACATTTAGGGATCCAGACCGAGACAAGACCAAGACATTTAGGGATCAAGACCGAGTCAAGACCAGGACCATACATATCTGAGGCGTGTCCCTCACTCAGACCGTAACACCGGGAAGGTCGGGACGTAACCTGGGGGATTAAAATCAAACTACAGATTAATTAAAGTTATTTGTTCTTTTAAAAAGAGGAGTTTTCCTTCTAATCACAGTAATGATGTGGAAAAATAGCCGATCAGTGGTGGTCTTGACCGGTCATCATTTAAAATTCTGAGACCGGGACAAGACCGAGTTAAAATGCTTTCGATTCCAAGACGAGCCGAGACCTTCAAAAAGTGGTCTCGAGACCGGTCTTAAGACCAAGACGGATTCCGATTACTCGTAACCTGAAACAAACTCTAGAGATCTCAGGATACACAAAGCAGCCCACGCTGTGACAAACCACAGCTCCTGTTGTCCACTTGTTCTTGTTTTCTCTGTAGCTGACCAAACAGACCAAACAAGCTGTAACATTTCTGAAGATGTACTCGTGCCTCGCAGGATAACAGACTCCATAAACTCACACTGTGTGCCAGGGCTGTGACGGCTGAGGAGTCAGGTGTTGTAGGAACTTGGCTGTGTCGGTTTTGTGTTGGTTTTGGTTGCACAGCATTCAGATTCAAACGACTTCTCTAATCCCAGAGAGGCAATTTGGTTTCACAGCCTATCGAGTCCTTGGTAGGCAGGTATAGGCTGCTGGGTCGCACACAGTGGAGAGCGCCCCCTGGCTGGCCAAAGGTCACACGCTACAAAGTAAAGAGCAGGCGACCAAAAAATGTTCAACTTTAATGTCTAACAGGGGAAATGTATTTTGCAGTCATGCGAAAACAAAAAGAAAAAAAAGAAAACCCCAGGCCCATAGACTCAGAGATTAGAAACTACATAATAAACATTTAAAACTTAAATATTAGAGTTCATTATGTGGCAACAGGAAACTGAGAATATAACAAAATCATCCATAAAACCATCATTTAAGAAAAAAAAAAAAAAAGGAATACACAAGGATTATTTTCATCTCGCAAAGACTCCTAACAGGAATAATTAAAACATTTTAGTATAACATACACTGTGTTTTGTCCCTTTTCTCCGTCGCTGACCTGTGCATGCACCTGGCATTGATCTCAGAAAGAAATACAAAAATCATAAAAGAAAATAAGGACGAGTCATTAGATTAACATCCTGTTTGGAATCCAGCCTGATGCCTGATGTTTTGACAAAACACTGACAAAACCAGTGAGTCATCCTGATCACTGTGGGCGGGCATCCTCGGTCCTCGGGGCTTCTTGTTTCTATTTGTTATTCTTTGAGCATCTGACGTTAACAGAAAAGATCAGAGATACTCTTTCACAAAGAAATAAAAAACAACAGCTTTGAAAGTTTTCTGACACACCAAGGAGATCGTCGCCATAGTTTTTGCGGTAGTTTCTTTTGGCCGATTCGACATGTTGAATCAGCGTCGGCGGTTGGTGAGAAGAGTCTCTCTGATTGGCTGTTCAGAGGTTTCATTTCTGTCCAGCTCTCCTCTCAGGTTCAGTAAAGCCTCTTGAGCATGTCTCTGTAGTATCCATGCTTTCACCCATTAGTGTGGTTTCTCCTTATTTGTCTCCTCCTCCTCTTCTTTTCTTTTTTCCTCTAAAAGACCAAGAGCTGACAACGCCAGCGCCATTTTCACCTTCTTATCAGACATTATTCTCCATTAGTAGACGACCTATAATACGAGTGGTGAGCGACAGCGGGGTGAAAATGGTCTTCTCATATCATAACAACAGACTACCGCCCCCTGCTGGCATGGAGAGTTATTTCCTCTAATGAGCAGAACGTACGTGGTGATTGGCCGTCGGCTGTAGTCTCTGTGGTGTGTTCAAGTGCAACTTTTCGGTCAAGACAAAGACACTAGTTCTTTGCCGTCTGCTTGGTGTGTCAGGGCTTTAAAGAGCTTAGTCAGACGATTAGAAAAGAACTAAACAAGCTCAAGTCTGATTGCTTTTTTATCACCACTAATTAATCTAAAGTCTGGGGGATGTTTTACTTACTGCAGAATGTGAACAAGCTCTCGGGGAAACTTCAGTCTGGAGGAAAGAGCTTTCTTTATAACAGGCATCAGTCCTTTTTATTGTGCACATGAACTGTATTCTATCTTTTTTTACTGAATACAATCACAGCTTTGCATGGTCATACCCCATGTAAACTAACACCAAGAAGCTGTAAAACATCAGAATCAGCGTCCTCTGATCTCTCTGGTTGCAGGATGTTTTTCCCACAGCAGGACAAGCTGAAACACAAAGTGATGAAACCCTGCAGAGCCCCTACACTCTGACATGAATAACAGAGATGTGGGTGAGACCAGCTACCAGAGACATTCCATAATGATCACAGTTACAGTTGATGCAGAACAGATGCTGGCTGCTTGTACTGTGTGTGTGTGTTTCAGGAGGTGTTTCACACGGCCTTTCTCTCTCCCTGTGTGGTTTCTCTGCGCGGTATGTTCTGAGTATAAATATTTTGGAAAGTGTGATGATAACAATGTTAAATATTGTAACACCCGCCTCACCCGGCAAAGCATCCGGCCCCCCCATCACTGAGACTCTTCAGCCTCTGAGCCAGCTCTTCCAGACTGATGATCAGTTTCATCCACCCAGCTGTCAGGAAGCTGAACTCTCTCCCCTCTGCCTCTCCCCCCCGCTCCCCTCAGCTCTGGATGTTGAACCTCACCACCCATCTTGGAGCAGTCCTCTCTCTGTCCTTTACTTTTCACTAAGTTAGTGCCTTATATTTATTTATATTTCAATTTTAAACCAAGCACATTTGTTGTTGATGTTTTTTTTTAAATGAACATATTTTGCACATTATCTTTGTACTTTTGTATATCTGGAACTTTTCTTCATCTAAAAGTGTGCCGTGCCTCAAAAGAAGGGTTAAAAAAACACTCTAAGGTGATGATGCATTTTGTAATTCATATAGCACCCTCTGCTGGTGACAGAGAACTGCACGTGTACAACAATGAAACTCAAATGAGATGCTTTTTGACTGGTTGACAAATCGAGTAATAACAGCGCATATCTCCGATAAATTTAGCCGATACTGATACTCACTCGAAATACTAATATCGGCTGACGTTATCGGCTGGATGATTAATCGGTCGAGGCTCTAGTAGGTACAAAGGCGTAATAATGCTGCATTCATGTGGGGTCGGACACATCGGAAAAATTAGATTCCGAGGTTGCAAAATGCGCATGAACACGTGCTCAAGTCAGAACAACTCGGAAAAGAATGAGATGCCCGACTTCCTGACTTGACGTCAGAATCGTCATCAACATTGTTAATGTTAACATTAATTCAGGTATTGTGCATCAACTTTTTGCTCCAATATAACTTTTAACAGAGATATTTCACTGTTCTTCTTCGGAGCGTCAACGCTGTTTTTGTGCTGTTGTTACAACATTCTGACTTTCCGAACTGAAATCACTTCGGAAAAACGACTTCCAAACTCGGAAACTTGGACCAGCCGAGCAGCACGTGAACTTGGACCAGCCGAGCAGCGCGTGAACTTGGACCAGCCGAGCAGCACGTGAACTTGGACCAGCCGAGCAGCGCGTGAACTTGGACCAGCCGAGCAGCACGTGAACTTGGACCAGCCGAGCAGCGCGTGAACTTGGACCAGCCGAGCAGCGCGTGAACTTGGACCAGCCGAGCAGCACATGAACTTGGACCAGCCGAGCAGCACATGAACTTGGACCAGCCGAGCAGCACATGAACTTGGACCAGCCGAGCAGCACATGAATGCAGCATAACAGCAGAGCTTGTGCTGCATTCAGGTGCTGCTCGGGGAGAACGGCACACAGAGAGGTTCCTGTCAGACGGGGAAGCGAACCACTGAACCATTTCGCTGTGAGGCAACAGCGCTAACCACAATTAAACACAGGAAAGAGAAAATGTAAGGATTTTTTAGATAATGAGAAATGAAAACTTTCAATAATACATTTCACGATTGTAGTTATTTCTGTTATTTAATGGTCAATTTGTTTTCCAGTTTCATATTTTAAAAAACAAACAAACGACCAAACCCGAAAAGATCCAGATAGCAGTGATACAAAACAGAGAAGAGCAGCAATTGTTCACAATAGAGAAGCTGCATCCAGCTCACAATCTGCTGTTACATCAACACTAAACAATGAATCCATTATTATAACTCTCACACAGCCAACAGTCCTTATATTAAATAAACTCCTAATGCTACTGATCTGAGCTCTGTGTGTTTTAAACTCAGAAACACACACATGTGATCAGTTTCAGTCTCCTCATCCTGCTGACAGTGTTCTCTGGCACCTTCTCTGCCTCTGCGCATGCTCAGTGGGCCTTGTGGACACACAGCATGGGTCATCATTGGTAATCAGTCTTTTTTTCTTTAACTCTCCATCAGCTCTCGGGCTTGTCCTTGTTGGGGCCCATGAACTCCACTCCGTCGATGGGGATGTCTTTCTCCTTGATGGCCTTCTGCACGCACCGCTGGTACTTCCGGAAGGTCTCGGTGCACGGGTCTCCGCTCCGGTCCCCCTTCAGGAACTTCTCCGCGAACCAGCGGTTGAAGCACTGGTCGTACTCCCGCTTCAGGTCGGTGCAGGCCTCCCCGACGCTGTTCATTTTCACCAGCAGAACTCAGAACCGGCGGAAAAAAGTCGAGATACTGAAGATTTCTTCACCTGTTTTCAAAAGCAGGAGCTGTGTCAACATGCGCACTGCGTGACTCTCCTTGAACAGCGTGTTGTGATTGGTTGGTTTGACAGCCGTCGAACGTTGTAGCGTCACGTCGCATCAGGGATGGTGTATTTGAGAGGAGCGATCACTCTTGTGTAAAATCGCACGCACTTAAGTATGACGAAATAAAGTTCGTACGATTGAAATTAATATTATTGCATATTTATCATTTTTTTACCGCCTCCGAATTGTACAGAAGCTTGTGCAGACATGCATCAGTGCCACGTTTATTATAGTTTCGAATTTTACATTAGTTTGAATTTCTATTTATTTGTTTAAGTTTCTAAGTTTTATATGCCGTTTTATTCTCCTGATCTCAATTTGTATATCTCGTTATCTCAACATAATAACGATGGTTTACCTCTGATTTCGACTTAATTTCAGCCGTTTTCTTGAGCTCTCGAGTGGTTAATACCTTCTGAAAAGAGCACCGGAGTGAGACCTCTTACTTTGTTTGCCCAGCCGCCGTCCAAAACCCGCGAGATTGTTTTTTGAAGTCTCTCCGAGATCTCGCGATTCTCCGAGACGTGAGAGGCATCAGAGTGATCGAACTAAGCTGATAAATACATTTATTAATCGATTAATAAGCCAGAAAGAGCCAGACCGGAGTACAAAGAGGTAAGTTACACCCGCGCTGCTCATCGGACATAATTTGATTAAAGCTGTTTTGGAGATATCCTGAACGTAGCATCTCTTCACTCGTACGTTAGCATGCTAAGCTAGGCCATCATGATTGTTATGGGCTGCTAGCTTAGCGTTAGCTGCTCTGCCTGCGTTTTAATCAAACTTTACACGCGTGGCTCTGTAATCATTTCGCTCCTGCTGTCGACACAAAGGTTACACGATGTCTGATAGCGATGACAGCGACTTCTCCGACAACCAGAGTGAGCGCAGCAGCGACGGAGAGGCCGAGGAGGTGGAGAATGAGGTATGCTAACTGTGCTAGCTTGTGATGCTAACTAACAGATAAAAAGTAAACATTGAAGTTTGAGAATATATTAAACATTAAACATTATATATTATATATTATACTTTATATACTTTATATATTAAACATTAAATATTATACTTTATATACTTTATATACTTTATATATTAAACATTATATATTATATATTATACTTTATATACTTTATATATTATATATTATACATTATTTACTTTATATATTATATATTAAATATTAAACATTATATATTATATATTAAATATATATTATATATTATATATTATACTTTATATACTTTATATATTATATATTATATATTAAACATTACATATTAAACATTATATATTATATATTAAACATTATATATTATATATTAAATATATATTATATATTATACTTTATATATTATATATTAAACATTACATATTAAACATTATATATTATATATTAAACATTATATATTATATATTAAATATATATTATATATTATACTTTATATACTTTATATATTATATATTATATATTATATATTAAACATTACATATTAAACATTATACATTATATATTAAACATTACATATTAAACATTATATATTATATATTAAGCATTATATATTATACTTTATATATTATATATTATACTTTATATACTTTATATATTATACATTATATATTATATATTATACATTATTTACTTTATATATTATATATTAAACATATATTATACTTTATATACTTTATATATTAAACATATATATATTATACATTATTTACTTTATATATTAAACATTATATATTAAACATTATATATTATACTTTATATATTAAACATTATATATTATATATTATACATTATTTACTTTATATATTAAACATTATATACTGTATATATTAGACTTTATATATTGTATAATAATATACCGTTTATTTCATACATTATAGGGATTCAAGATAATCTTTTACTTTCTATGTTTTATTTGTCCATTTGAATCACTAGTAGCTGAATATGGAGCAGAGGAAGAAGTAGCTCAGACTGTAGGGGGAAAGTATGGGAATTGTTGTGGCTGCTGGAGAGGTGACAGGTCACTTCCAGAGTTCTAACAAGTCGCCCTCGAGCGAGGCACCGAACCCCCAACAGCTCTGATGTGCCCCCCCCCCCCACTCTGACATCTCCCCATTAACACTTGTGTTTAGGAGGAGGCAGCCAGCCCCGTAGGCAGCGACAAGGTAGCAGAGGAGGAGGGAGAGGACCTGGAGGATGAGGAGGAGTATGATGAAGAGGAGGAAGAGGATGATGATGAACGTCCCAGAAAGAAGCCAAGACACGGGGGCTTTATCCTGGATGAAGCCGGTGAGACTCTGCTTCTCACGCTACAGCGGTTAACGAAGTGCTCAACTTGAAGTACTACTACTAAAACTTATTTTTCCCACCTCTCTGCCTAGATGTGGATGATGAGTATGAGGATGAGGAGGATCAGTGGGAGGAGGGAGCTGAAGATATTCTGGAGAAAGGTAAGAAGTTTGATTTGCTGTGATGAAACCTTTTGTTTAAAAAAAAAAAGTTTAAAAATGTGGTATCCACACAACCCAACTAGATATTTTAAGATATTTTTATATTATAAGACCCGCTCATCAAGAAGCTCCCGATTGAAGGATTTATTGATTTGTGACCTTTGGAGCCAACACGCTCTTCCTCTGACTTGAGCATGTCTGAGGAAATGTCCGTTTGTGGATCCGGCACCCGCAAGGGATGAGCGTGTCTTTTTTTACTTTTCATACTCAGAAATGTCTTTAAAAGAATCCTAATTTCTAACCTTCAGTTAATTGTATTTGTCCTTCCTCATGATGATTGTTTGAAACTCTCTGCACATTTTAGACGTATTTCAATGTTTGTGTTTGAACGATGGTTTAGTGACAGATTATCACTAACCAACCTCTGATTTCAATGAAAACTAAAAAAAAAAGAACAATCAGAACACAAAGATATGGTTTGTCAGGACGAGCTCTGAATAGAAACACTTATTAAAGTGATTCACTTTGAACATATTGTGAACATTATCTGGAGGTCAGACTAAAGGAAATCTTCCCTGTGTGGTTCTGACCCTCTTAAAGGAGATCTATTCTGCTGATCCAGATTTAAATACACACACATACATAATGTTACGATGTTGAACGTCCACTCTAAACCTCAGCAACTTTTTTTAAAAACACAAGATAAAACAGTTGTTGGTGTAATCCTCGGGCGTGGTTTCCTGCTGCTCTGAATGAAGCTTGGACAGAACCTGACGGGGGAGTCTTAAAGAGACAGAGGCTGAAATGAAGTGTTTCAGGCAGAAGCTGAAATGAGGGATTTTACTGACGTCAGTATCAGATACATGAGGAGGTTTTTGAGCTACACATCTCACTAATCATTAGGTGTCCCAGACTGATATAAGATGAAAGTGAGCATAATAGATCTCCTTTAATGCTTTTTAAAATGGCACCAACGTACAGACGGGTCTCAAAGGTCAGGTTGTGAGCGTTCTGAGAGCTCTGTGAAAAGGTTCCTGATGTGATGCAGAGAGTGTGACGCCTCAGTTGGAGCTGTTTTCTAAAACATGTATGTCCTCTGACTGAACTCTCTCTGTCTCATCGGTGTTCTCTCATGCATGTCCTCTTCAGTTAACGGTAAATCTACTTCAGATACACTCCTGCTCCGATTTGTTTCCATTGTTAGTGTTGTTGTTATTCTCCATGGTGTTTATCTGAAGCAAGTGGAGCATTCAGATTCATCCATTCAGTAAACCTCCATGTCCCAGAATGTAATGATTAACCCCACTTCATCTCAGCACAGCTGTTTTTGTGATTGTGTAGCTTCGTGTGCGGGAGAGCACAGAGGGCAAATCCATTATTGGCTCCTTGAACGGCAACAGCTCTATTTACAAAGTCCACACAGAAAAAAAACAATCACTACACTTTCTCTTTAGGTGTTGATTCTGAGGCCACGTTTACACGACAACGATTGCGTTTTGGGTTTTATCATTACACAAATGGAGTGAAACCAGAAAGCCTTTGAACTTTTGAAATCCATCAACATGTAAACAGGAAATACACTTTTCCTCTGAAAACGGTGAATTCACATGTGTGTAACGGTTCCAGTCAGTAGCCATGAGCAAGTATGTGGACTACAACAACAACAACAACAACAACAAAGGCGGCTCCCGAGTTCTGATTTATGCTGCTCGCTCCCCGTCAACATTTTATCAACGGTGACTCTCTTTGTAGTAAATTTGTAGTTTAGGGCCTCCTCCTGGAGTAACAACGCTACCTACTGGTCTGTTATGGATATTGCAGCCGCTTGAAGTCGTCTTTTGGGGATCCGTGTGCACGCCCGTTGTTATCAAAACGTTGTCTTCTGAACGCAGAACCAAAAAACAGCTTGTTTTCTGAGTATTGTTCTCGTGTGGGCGTGGCCTAAATGTGTGAGCTTTCTAAAGTCAACATACGACAGAGACTGACAACAAGTGTTTGTATGCTGTAGTCGCTAACCTGTCTTTAGACGGAAGCCCTTCCTGTATGATGTCGTACTGATTTAAACCCCTCACATGGTTAAAACATATTTTTTTAACCAACCAGCTTCCTCTAAGTGTCAGGCACATCACAAGATCAGAAACAGACTTCATTTTTAGGTAATAAAATCCAAATTGACACCAAAATATTTGTCATTATTTAACACCTCGAGGTTTGACATTTAGCAGATTCAGCGGTTTCCATCGTTCAGAGACCAAAGTGTGATCCTTTGCCTGACTCTGCTGCCCCCGTAGACGACTGCACTCGTTCCCCTTTAAAATGTCTGGACTAATGGATGTGGTGGTTGAAGCTTTTATGTGGCACGTGGTAATGCATACGATCACTGAAGGCACGAGTACGGCAGAAACTAAATCAAACTGTGTGAAAGGTTAAAGGGTCGCCATCCTGCTGCCTTTTTGTTTTATACTCATAAGAACCCCAAACGACAACAAACCCCCAAAATGAAAGAGAGAGTCAGGCCCCGTGTCCACCTGGTGTTTCTTTCCGGGCAGTAAAGCGCTGACTGTGCGCTCTGGAGCGTTTGTGCTCTGAGAAGAAAAGCGCTGCACGTCCGTCCTGTCTCCATGACAACAGTCTGATGACAGCAGCCGCTGTATGACCGACACTGCTCCGTTACTTTTTACTGCATGTTTTACATTTGAAATCGTTTATTTCCAAAGAGGGAGTAGGGGGTAAAACTTGACATTTGGAAAAGGGCGCCGGTGAGGTCAACAGCGCCTTTCTGAAAAGTTTGAAATATTTTCAACCTGAGCGTTCGGAGCCGCCGCACAGAAAGGTGGAGAGCTCTAAAAAATAATGCTGGGTGCTGCGTATTTTCACCCGAGGGCCGCCTGCTCCTGCAGACGCTCTCTCCTGCAGACGCTCTCTCCTGCAGACGCTCTCTCCTCATTGAAAAATATTGATGCTGGCGCTCAGAAAGAAAAAAAAAAAAACGCCAGGTGGACACGGCGCTTTAAGCTGCACGTTTTAGTTGTGCAACGATAATGACATCACTGTCAGCGGCCGATGAGTGTCCGACATGTTTTTTATCGTGCTGAATGAGTGCACGATGTAGTCTTTAAGTCCGGTTCAGTTTCTGCTGTACTGTTGCTTTAAACCACACTGAACCGTCACGGCTTCATGCTTCTGTGTGCTGAACCGTCATCATTAATCTGTTTTTGTTTTTCTGTTGTTATTGTTTTTTTCTCCCATCATGCTTTGTGTTGCTGCTGCCTGACTCTGCTCCTGTGTGCTCTGCCCTGACGACACTTAATGTCTTTTGGCTTCTGCCTTCACCTCCATTCTCCTCCTCCTTCTTCCTCGTCCTCCTCCTCCTCCTCTTCCTCTTCCCCTTCCTCCTCCTTCATCCGCCTCCTTCTCCTCTTCCATACTCCTCCTCCTCTTCCTCTTCATCCTCCATCTTCCTCCTCTTCCATCTTCCTCCTCCTCCTCCTCTTCATCCTCCTCCTCCCGGCTGCTGTGTATGTTTTCCTCTTCTCTTCATCTTTCTCTTCACTTCCTCTGTCCTGAACTCTCTCTCTCTCTCTCTTTGTATCATTCTTTACTCCTTTCCTTCCTCCTTTCCTCACCATGCTCTTTGCTCTCCTCATCCCTTTTATTCTCTTTTGTTTTCTTGCACGATTGCTCTTCCTCCTCTTTCTTCGACTCCTCTCTGCTCTTCTCCAACTTTGCTTTTTCTCCCTCCCCTTCTCTCTCTCTCTCTCTCTCTCTCTCTCTTTTTTGGTCGGTGGTGAGCAGAGGAGGCTGAGGGTAAGTCTGTTTTTGTTTTCCCTCAAACAATCCTAATGGTTCTTTATTTAATAAATCTATTTGTGATTAACCATGAATGTGACCCCTCCCCTCCCCCCTCTCCTCCTCAGTGTCGAACATCGACCATGTGGTTCTTGATGAAGATCACTCTGGATCCAGGAGGCTGCAGAACCTCTGGAGGTAAAAGACCTTGTTTACTTTACAAGTCACTTAAATAACCTCCCAGAGAAACACTCCCAGGAGGTCAAACTCATGACACTGTTTCCCCATATCTAAAGCAATAACCAAACTTTATTGAGGAATTCTACGATGCTGCAAAACTATCTGTGTGTGTGTCATGACTAAACTTTGTGTGTATTTGTGTTACAGAGACTCCAGAGAGGAAGCTCTGGGTGAATACTACATGAGGAAGTATGCCAAGTCATCTGGAGGGGAGCAGTAAGTAACTTTGTTCTAAGTGAAAAGATGAAGTCTGAGCTGTGCACTCTTTTTATAAAGACTCTGTCAGCTCACACTTTGCAGCACAGCACACCGAGACGATTGTTTTATTGTAGTTTTTAATCCAACAATTTGACTAAAGAGTAATCACAAGAACGTGATTCTGAACTTTTCTGTTTTTTTACACACTATTCTTGTTTTCTTCTTCGGTGGTGTGCAGTTTCTCTGGAGGGTCCGAGGAGCTCTCTGATGACATCACTCAGCAGCAGCTACTTCCTGGAGTCAAGTACGTGAACTCTTCATGCACCAATCAGCTTTGAGGACACTTGCAGACACACTCTGAATCTTTGAGCTGTTTTAACAACAATTTTTTTTTTCCTCGTCAGGGATCCCAATCTGTGGACGGTCAAGTGTAAGGTGTGTGTGTGATAAAAACACAAATTCAAATCACACATAGAGGGATTGACTGTTCCTTTACATGCTGCATCTGTTTGTTAAATAATTCATCCTGTTTTTAGATCGGAGAGGAGAGGGCGACGGCCATCGCATTGATGAGGAAATTCATCGCCTACCAGTTCACAGACACGGTAAGACGCTGCACTCTGTCATAACTACTTCAGGATGTTTGACCTCTGCCGCTCACGCTTCTCTTAACTCGACCGTCTCCTCACAGCCTCTGCAGATCAAGTCCGTGGTTGCCCCGGATCACGTCAAAGGTTACATCTACGTGGAGTCGTACAAACAGACGCACGTCAAGTCGGCCATCGAAGGCATCGGGAACCTGAGGATGGGTCTGTGGAACCAGCAGATGGTCCCAATCAAAGAGATGACGGACGTCCTCAAGGTCGTCAAAGAGGTCACCAACCTGAAGCCCAAGTCCTGGGTCCGACTGAAGAGAGGCTTGTACAAAGACGACATCGCTCAGGTAAGAAGAAGTGATTTCTGTATTTGCTATCATAATGAGCTTTGGGGCGTTGGCTAGACACAGACACACCAAGCAGACGGCAAAGAACTAGTGGTCTTGGCCAAAAAGTTGCACTTGAACACACCGCAAAGACTACAGCCGACGGCCAACCACCACGTACGTTCTGCTCATGTGTGAGATGAAATAACTCTCCATGCCAGCAGGGGGCGGTAGTCCGTAGTTACGTAGTTATACAAGAAGACCATTTTCACCCCGCTGTCGCTCACCACTCGTATTATAGGTCGTCTACTAATGGAGAATAATGTCTGATAAAAAGGTGAAAATGGCGCTGGCGTTGTCAGCTCTTGGTCTTTTAGTGGAAAAAGAAAAGAAGAGGAGGAGGAGACAAATAAGGAGAAACCTCACTAATGGGTGAAAGCATGCTCAAGGGGCTTTACTGAACCTGAGAGGAGAGCTGGAGAGAAATGAAACAACAGAACAGCCAATCAGAGAGATCCGTCTCACCGACCGCTG